GCGTCCACCCGGCGCCCGCCGTGGGCTGGGAGCTGGCCGGGGATCCCACGGAGCTCTAGTCTTCCTTTGGGTGCAGAGGGTCACTCTGCCGGCTCGGATAACGCCATCGGGCTCTTATCTAGCGGTAGCAGGGTGTGGGTGCCCGGCAGTGGAGTTGGGGTTCCAGGAAGCCCGCCGGGGGCCCCTGGCCAGTGCGGCTCCCCCAGGATGCCGCCTGCTGCTCTGGACACGGCCGATTGCCTGTCAGTGTCACTCCGCGTTCTGCCCCTGAGAACTCCGCGCTGGCACCCAGCAGGCGGGGCCCCCACCCCGGGACGTCCCACCTCCCACTCCCATCTTGGCAGGGAGACTGGAAGAGGCGGCTAATTTCAAGTCCACGCAGTACTTGTGGCTGTGTCCTGAATGCTCCACGATTAATCAGAGTCTCTGATTCCTGCTTTGCCTCTGAGGGGGCGGAGGGGACGCCTGGAGGTTTCTGTTTACTCCATTCTGCACTGGGTTGTGTGCTAATCACAAACAGACAAGGACGCAGCCTCCCCGCGGAAATCTGCTCCCCCCACCCCTCCCTCCTCCCTCCTCTCTCCCTCCTCCTACCTCCCACTCTCCGGGCCCTGCCTCACTCCTGCTTTCCTCTTTCCCATCTGTCCCCCTCTTCCGTTGGATCTGACCCTTCACACACCCCTTCCTCTGATCCCAGGTTTCCCGAGTCCCTTCCCCGAGGTGGCGAATTCACTAGGCCTGGTCCCTGGTCCGTTGCATCCACAGGAGGAAAGGTCAGGCTTTTTGGCTACTTTTTCTTTGCTTTTCAACAACAGAATTACCTCAGGTCCCGGGCTGGCCTCTGCCCCATGCCATGTTACACTTGTGCACGTGCAGCGCCTGCGGCCCACCAGGCTCTGCGCCCTGAGGTGGGAACCCGGCCTGGGAACGAGAGGCTCCTCTGTCAGGTCGCTCAGGGATGGGCAGGAACAAAGCCTCCATTTACCACTTCTGGAGGAGAGGCTGGACAGGCCCTGCACCCAGAGCCATGTAACACCTAAAATGAATTTCTCTGCCCCTCCCCTTGGCTCCTTTCCACCCTGCAGCCAATGCAGAAAAGAAACCCAGGGCAATCGGCCCCAAGGAACACAGGCAGACACCCTTCCCAGCAGGGCACACACTATGCTCTGAAATTTTTTTTTTTTTTTTTTACCTAGGATCAAATTCTGGACCTTGCACTTGTGAGGCAGGCGGCAGTGCCACTGAGCTAAATCCTCTGCCCTCAGGAGCATCTTGGGCAAGACCTCCAGGAACTTGGAATTTGCGTCTCCAACAGACAGAACACCACCCAGGCGCTGTGCAGGGAGCGCCTGTGGATCGCTCACTGAGAACTGCTTCTCACAGGAAGTGGGGCTCAGCCGCCCATCAGAGATGGCTCACTGAACAGACCGTGACAGAGTTGCACTATGTGCACCAGGCAGTGGTTTAAAAGACCTGTGTCTCCATGGAGCAACTGATACACATCTCCCGGACTAGTTACTGGGTGAAAAGGGAGACAGAATACATTCAGTGTAATCCCATGTCCCATTGGTTTGGGATTTTTGTTTTCTTTTGCTTTTTGAGATGAGGTTTGCTATGTTGCCCAAGCTGGCCTTGAACTCTTGGGTTTAAATGATCCTCCTGCCTCAGCTTCCTGAGTGGCTGGGGGACTACCAGTGTTACACCACTGCACTGACCACAATATCGTCGTGGTCACATAACCACCCCCTTATATATTCCTGAAATGAACGCAAGAAAAATATATAAAGCCAGATAAGTGGTCTGGAAAGGCATTAGAAAGCTGAGTCATTACTTCTGGGAAAGGTATTGGAGGTGATGCTCTAATCTGTAATAATTTCATTTCCAAAAATGAACGTGGAAGCCGTGACGTGTGCAATCCCAGCACTTGGCAGTCTGAGGCAGGAGGATCATGCTTCTGGGCCAGCCTGTTCTACATAGCAAGACCCTGTCTCCAAAAAGAAAGAAGAAGAGGGAAGAAAAAAGAACAGAAGAAAAGAAAGAGGAAAGGTATTACAGTAGTCTTTTCCTCGCATCCAGCCTCCTTCTGCAGGGACACAGCACCTCTGTGTGGAGAAACTCTCATCCCTACCATTTGCCTCTTGGGACCGGCCTTAAGAGCCCTACAGTAATAGGCCAAGCTGGAGACAAACAGCAATCCTTAGGCACAAACCCAGAAATTCTACAACCTCTAGTTAGTCACCTGGAGGGGAGGAGGTTAGATCCTGAGCCAAGGTGACTTCTCCGGGCTGGAAACCCTGGAGGGCAGAAGAGCAGTCCAGTCGCTGTGCCAGCTGAAGCTCCTGGGAAGGAGGACATGACACACATCAAAAGGGGTGCTGGAAAGTGGGCACTTGGTTTCAGGAAGCAATGTCACCCACTCAAAAGTACAGAACAGAACACGAGACCGTTTGGCAGCATTTTAAAGGGATGAGTGTAGCAAGTCCTAACATCAGGCCAAGGGCCATGACAAAGCTGATTTCAGTGCTTGGTCTTATGGTCTTGTTGGGCGGAACGCGCACACACACACACACACACACACACACACACACACACATCCATGCAGGGTCCTGAACTTCTGGAGCTGCCCTCCAGGGGGCGACCTTTGATTCTGCACTTGCCAATTGCCTTCAGGCGGCAGGAGCCCTGCGTAATTGTTCCTGAAAACAAACCTCCTCCCATATGCCTGATCATGTTCTCCAAACCCAGAGCCAGACTTAGTGTGCCCAAAGCGGGGCTTACAGAGGGATGGCACCCACGATGACACTGGGTGGTGTGTACAGGCTGGACACTGAACACCACTGACTGTCTGACTGTCCTGGTGGGAGAGTCATCTCCTCTGGCCATTTTGTCTCCCCACTGGGCCTGGGAGAAAGTCTCAGCTTGGGGCCAGTCTGTCTTTCACACTCTAACTTTACCTAAGCTCCCTCTGCAAGAGCGAGAAAGCCAGCCGCAGGCTTAGCTGGTTCCCTGGCCAACAGCGCCAGGCTAGAATTGTGCTTGGCAAGTCAAAGTGGTTTGCCGTGGACACTTTCCTATTTCTAATGTTTTAGAGTTTAAAAATGAGTGCAAAAGAATTAGGGTGTGTCATTGTATGGGCATCAAATCCCCAGGTCTGTACTGTAAACATGAACTCGGAAACATAAAAATTTTTAAAGCAGAATCTGCCAGATGGGGGAAAAGCTAAGAAAACTCAAAGATTTAGTTGGTAATAATATATCTATTTTGGCTAGTTAGTAACAATGTATCGATACCGATTGACTGGTTGGGACAGATGTACCAAGCTAACCTAAGATGTGGACCCTGAAGGGAAACGGAAAGTCAAAATCTGTGCAAAATACATGGGGCCTCTCTGATTGTCTGCAATTTTTCTGCAAATCTGAAACTATTCTAGGACTGGGGATGTAGCTCAGTGGCACTGTGCCTGCCTCGCAAGCACAAGGTCCTGAGTTTCATCCCCGGGACCCGAAATAAAACCTATTCTAACACAAAAGCTTATTTAAGTATCTTTAATGGGGTGGGAGGAGATACTTCTGTGTTTGTTTTCCAATGTGTGCATGGAGAGAGGAGGCAAAAAGCAAATGTGGCAAAAATGGTACCAACCAGCAAGTGTAGGGTATGCGAATGCCCTTGCACTGTTCTCCTGACTTTCCTGTAGGTCTGAAATTTGTCACAGTGAGAAGGTGACAGGAAAGCACATTTGGTGGTCTCTGTCCCTGCTGTCTCACAGTATGTTTGTGATGTAACCAGGGTGGGACTGTCAACCCAGACTCCCCAACAAGGAGGAAAGTCCCTGGCGGGAGACAGACGTGTCAATGTGGGGTGCGGCAGTGGAGGCGGGGTACCGGGCCCGTGCCTTTGAGAGTGAGGGGGGCACCCAGGGAAGTGCTGCGAGCCTTGAAGGACGCCTGAGCAGAAGGGTTACCTGAGGGTTCTAGACGGCAACTGGGCTGGGACAAATCTGAACCTGAGCGGTGGGCAGCCCGCAGCCTGGGGGTCCGCAGAACCTTGGTCTCTGCCCTTTCTCCCACTTTGCCCCTCACCTCCGTCGTCCTCCCCGGGCAGCAGCCTTTCTCCTGTGGTCTGCAACCTACAGCCCTCTCTCCAGGAATTGCCCTCCTCAGCTTTCACGGGTTAATACCTCACCCTTTAAACGGCTGGAACTCAACCAAGAACTCACCGTATCCCTAAGCTTTCCCAAGAGTGGCCTTGGGCGAGTAACTCAGGGCAAAAATAGCACTGCATCCTGCTGTTGTGAGCATTAGATGAAATAAAACTTCGTTACTCAACGTGTGGATGATGGGCCGGAAGCTGTAATGCTACATCCCAGGCCCAGCCCCTCGGCTTCTGAATCAGATTCTGTGTTTTCATAGGACGCTCAGTGTATGTTTAAACTCGAGAAGTATTGAGACATTCAATGTAAAGTGCTTCAACCCTGTGTATTAGTGTGTTTTCTGTTGCTATAACAAAATTCCTGAGACCGGACCCTCTATAAAGAAAAGAGATTGGAGACTGTAATAACTCCATCTCAAAAGAACTAACGCAGAGTCCCACAGAACCACCTGATCCCTTTCCGGGGAAGTACCTACGGTGATCTCCCACTAGACCATGCCTCCTAGATGTTCCACAGCCTCCTTTGTTATTCTTGTTTGTTTGTTTTTTGTTTTTTTCGAGACAGCTTCTCAATGTGCAGTCTGGGCTGTTCTCACATTCATGATCATCCTGCCTCAGCCTCCCGTGTGCCAGGTGAGTCCCGACGCCCCGTCCCACCACCCCTTGGTATCGTCACACTGGAGACCAGGATTCCAGCATGTGAACTGTGAGGGACGCTTAGGCCGTGTCCACACCCAAGCAGCCCGTCTGGTACTGCACCACTACGTGTTGTCATGGCCACTGTCCCACGGTCCTGCCTGTTTTCTCCCGCCCTCCAGATGAGAGGAGAGACATGGACCCCCATGGACACCGTGGAATCCTGGGCGAATGAGAAAAGATGGCTACCCTGATCTTGCTCAGTTCTTTGCGACTCACTGCTTCCCAGTGACTCAGCATCCTGCAGCTAAACTGACAAAGCTGAGGACCACAAAGGGTCTCCCACTCCAAGTGAGGGGTTTGGGATGGTGCTTGACAGGACGAAAACCTTCCCAGACCCACGCTACCTGTGAAAGCCTGCCGTTATCCTGAAGGCAGCAACATCAAAATTCTCCTCCTTTAAAATCCCATCGAGTCCCAGCACTAACAGGGTCAGATTGCTAGATTCTTCCTGGCGATAAATACCCCAATCCATCACCCCAGGCATCTCCTCTGCTCTCATCGTGACCCATCCAGAGCCTCAGCCCAAGCCCCTCTGATCCCCTGAGACAAATGACAAACTCTGCCAGTCAGAAGTCAGCTCTGTGGAGCTTCTTTGGAATGGCGAAGTCCTCTGGTCTGGGCCAGCCCACCCTAAACCTTGGTTCAGCAGAGGAATGAGTCTGCCCCGAAGCCCCGGAGCCTTATCAGTTGGGAGGATTAGCAGAAGCTGAGCTCTGACCCAAGAGAAAATCCCAGACACCCTCCACACCCGCCTTGGGACTCTCGGACTCCAGTGTTTGCAGAAACCAGTTCCAGTTAAGTAAATACTCTGTGCACGTGAGCGCCCACAGGGCTTCTCCGAGGACCTGACATTCTCCACGTGGTGGCTGTCATTTCCTCACAAACACTGCACTGAGAGCAGTCTTCGCATTCCCAGAATGACTCTGCTGGCAGAGGAATTCTGTAACTCCCCTGGAGTTCACGGCTGCCACTTTCCTCTTGCACTCTCTGACCCCACCCCGCAAACGCATCCTGTATAATTTGATAAGACCTTCTGGCCCCCCATACATGTCTTACTTCGCCACTAATTTCTAGTGAACTGTTCAAATATGCACGGCCTAAATTGAAGCCCGATGCTGGCAGTACTTGTGGGGTACCCTCTTCAAAGCGACTCTACATCCCAACAGTTTACATATTGCTGGAAACAATCGACTTCAGTGCACAATTTATTTGGCTTGGCTGATTTCATGCTGGTCGGAATTCGCTTTGGGGAAAAACAAACCCCGCATATGTTTAGATGTATAATTTATATCGAAAGCACAAAAATCTCATAATACGGCTACGAGGAGGCCTCATCGTGGGCAGAACAAGTCACAGGCTGGTGTGGCTCTTCCGTGGATGTACATGTACTAGGAGATTCCAAAATGCTTTGTAGTTAAGCCGCCCTCTTACCCCTGCTGAGAACCAGCTGAGCAGAGGCTGCACGCTGCCTGC